GCTCTCACAACCTTCAACCTGGTGTTCAAATTTGCTTATTGGATTGCTGTAACTGTTGCAAATTGGTAGAGGGAGGGTGTCATTGCTGGTTTCTGCCTCTACCCTGTTCTGTTGATGTTGGTCTTGTGTGTTGTAATGTTGAGTATACAGAGGGTATTGAGGCCTAAGGTAGGGCTGATACCTGTATTGTCTCCTTCTAGGTGCCGGATTGTGGATCCCTAGAGCGCGGAGCATTGCTCTGGAATCCTTCATCAAGTGAAGAATTTCATTGGTATTGGATGCAGACAGTTTCTGGCCATCAAATGGGAGATCTTAGATTTCTCTAGGAAAGGGAGCGGAGTTAAACCACAAAGCCCTTCTCATCACTACTGCTGTTGCTATAGATCGTGCAGCATCTAATGCAGCCTGCAAGGCTGTTCTGGCAATTGTGTCCTCTTATCAGGGCTTTGAACTGTTGTCTTTTAGCCTCAGGAATGTCTGCAATAAAATCATTAAGTTAGGTGTAGTTTCTGTAGTCATACTTACTTAATAGAGCAACATAATTGGAAATACGGAAGTAAGGTGGAGACGTGTAAACTTTACGTCTGAATAAATCAAGTCTCTTGCCATCACAGTCCAATGGGGTGGAACGGAACTGTTGCTGCTTGCTTTTCTGGTGTGCAGCTTCCACCACCAAAGAGTTAGGTACCTGGTGAGGGAAAAGAAACTCAGAGCCCTTGGGTGGAATGTACTACTGGATTAATCAGCAGTGCTATTTTAGATGTTATTGAGTGCAATATGTCCGTTAATTCATGTTGGTTTTCAACGACCTCCTGGAGGGGAATGTTTAATTCAACAGCCACGTTTTAAAGGGTCTGGAAAATGTGCAAAGTCATCTGAGGTAGTTGGAATTGGAGGCACAGCAGCTTTCTCTGCTGGGGCAGATTCATTTGGCTCAAGGGATACATTTGCAACTTGGTTAAGTGGATCCCCTTCCTGTGCTTGCTTTGTAGGTGGAGAGTGTACTCAAGGGAAATATTGCACTGAATGTCGTTTCTGGCAAGGTTGCCTGTTGTTCCAGTATTACCAGTGAAGGTATGGCATAGGTGGAGGTACCCAGGGATTGCCAAACCATGGAGGCATGTTCCAATATTTAGAGTATGATCTGGAAGAGTAAATAACTTCCCACACAGATCGGTCTTTCTGGAGAAAACCCCACATGAAGGTTATCTTCAGATTTGGATGAAAATCTTTCGTGAGAAAATGTCATTTGTGATGTTGACTTAGCAGGAGAATGATCGGTACCGAGTAATGGTGACCTTAGCATGGAGAAGACATAAGTCTCTATGTTGCATGTATTGCTAAGCTGGTGCTGACGGTGCCGTAGTAGGTGGCACTGATGCTATTTGAGGTGTTGGATGATGACTCAGTGCTGATAGGAGTGGCAATGCACTAGGTGCCTCTGAGGCGGACGCGTCAGCACAGAAGTTACGGCAGGCTGTGTCGGCAAGGTGGTTTCAGTGCCAGATGTTATCGCAGCTGGCAAGGCAGCCAACACCTCGGAGCAGGGTTTTCTGCATCCCTTTGCTAGCTGTGCTGGCAGCTCCAGAGACGTCCTGAGCATCATAGGTGCTTAAACGCAGTGCAGCCACAGCTCTTGGCACCAGCCGTGAGGGAGACAGCCACTTCGGTGCTGCCATCTCCTGAGGTAAAGATGAGGCTCGCTTTTTGGCGGGCTTTTTACCTCCATGTTGTTTCTGGTCACCAGGCTGTTGACCCAGGTCCGATGCAGATCTCAGTGAGTTTTCAAATAGCATTAGCTCAAGGTGCAGATCTCTGTCCTGTCCTGCCCTTGATTTCAATTTTGCACAATGTGGACATTTTTGAGAACCATGTGCCTCTCCGAGGCAGCGGACGCATTGTGCATGCCTGTCAGAAATTGGGGTAGGATCTTTGCAGGTAGAGCAGTGCTTAAAACCCGATGAGCTGGGCATGGCACTGAGTAACTACAGGATGGGAATAAGCTGGGAGAAAACCTTTAATCTACTTTACATTGTTATTTTTAACTAAACTAAAATACCAACAACTAACTGACATGGAGGAGAAAAAAAAAACCTTGGCTCTAACAAATGCATCTAAAATGCAAAACAAGATAGGGAGCTCTGCTGAGATTCATCTCCAGCCAGAGGCGATAGAAAAGGAACTGGGGAAGGGGGTGGTTCATGCATGTGTGAATCCTGCCACCTAGGAGCAGGCAGCTGCAGACGTGCATATGCGTGACCCCGAGGACACTGCCCTAAAAACGCCAATCAGTGGCTTGGCGGCAGCGCACCGACCAAATGTGGAGCACCCATAGGGACATCTCTCAAAGAAGATGAACTCTTCTGTGAATTTGACATGGCTATAAAATGAAGTGAATAGCCACTTCTCAGCAGAAAACATACTTAGAGCCTGTTACTGTACAACTTTAAGTTAATGGGAACTTTGCCACAGGCTGTGTCTACAAGTTGCACTGTTTGTAACAGATTTAGTCGAAATCACAGGAAACCATAATATTTGGTTCAACTTTGGCTTGCACTAGCTTAAATACTGTTTGTTTGGGGTTTTTTTTTGTGGTACAAGCATCCTGCAGGGGGAAAAAAAAAAGTTACAATCGCACCTTTAGTCAAACAAGAGCAAGATTAAACAAAGACTTCAGCCAGGGGGCAAGACAGGTTTGACAACATATGGGTCAACATCCTCTGAAGCTGATTGAAATGCTTGCATTGTCTAATTGGGAGCTGGATCAAACACTTTGAGAAACAGCTGCTTCCTAGGATTCTGTTCTTGTGAGAGACCAGAATCTTCTTTCAAAACTACCCTTCTCTCTCAGCTAGCTAGGAAAAGGTCGAGACGTGACTGGTGCAAATGAAGCAGGGTGGTTAGTTTCATTTAAGCGGGGTGAAAAACTATTAATAACCTTAAAAACATGAAATAAGGAGGGTAGTGGATAAAGAGCAACCTGACAGAAGTATGTTTATTCTTATGCATACTTTTTATTAATAGAAAATATATTTAGCATTAGCATATAAACTGATCAGCAGGATTTACAGTGTATGTCAATGGACAATGTGATTAAATCATTATAATATATGGTTGGAAAATATCTGGCAACTTTAACCAGTGGCTGGTTTTGGTGGAGCTGGATTGGACAGTGATATGGCATGGCATGCCAGAGCACCACAACTACAGGTGAAGCAAAATTCAGACGCTGTTA